GGAAAATAAGACCAACATCTCCATGTGTGTTCCACAGAGGGAAAGTCATACAGTTTGGATAAAGTACATTTAATTTAGGTTCTTTAGTAATGCAGTGAATATGAATTGTGTATCACATATTTTATGGTTTGTGTAAAAATTATTTATTTATAGAAGTCAGTAAGAATAGTCAGTTAAGCACTAATGATTAATGTAATGTAATGACGTGCTTCCACACTGAATAAAATCATAAGTCTAGCAAAGTGTTTTTAATATATTAATGCAGTTTATAGTTACGGGAAGAAGGAGGAGGGAACTGGCAGATGTTTAATATATTTTAATAATAAAATAAACAACAAAACGAAATAAAAATGGCAGCCCGTCACAGACAACTGCCACATAAAACATAATAAAACAACGTCATTAGGGCACTGATTTCCTCGATTCAAAAAACGTGGACAGAATTGCGGAATCCAGTTGTAAAAACGGAATTTATAGTTTAACGCGGAGTGTCACGGAATTTTTCAAAGTTTGAATTAATTAATCAAAAGGAGGTCATTACACTTAAATCATATCGCGATATGGACTAGTATTTGTAAATATAACGCCGCAAAAAGACTATTTAAATATGAATCCTGCATGTTCTACGTGTTTCTGTGTGGTCCGAGACTGGATCAGATCGTGTCTTTCTGGTGGTCGGATCCACACTATGACACTAGATGGTTCTTCATGTCGAAATCCTTCTGTCCAGGCGTGACGGTTTGACAGACTCGCTGATGGATGAGCGTCCGCTGGTGAGGCGAGCACGAGGAATCGCTCACAGCAGTGCATGATGATGTGGAGGAAATGAGTCATGATTATTTCAGATGATGCACAGTGAGTCTTCACTTCAGGGCTGCCAGTCTGCAGTCATTCTAGGAGATGTTGGTTTCTTGAGGACAACGTTAAAAAGACAGCGGTCTGTCTGAATGACTGGTGTGTGTCTTTAAAGGGACAGATCACCCAAAAAGAGACGTTCATTTACTGTCATCATTTACTCACCCTCATGTTGTTCCAAACCTGTGTGAATTTATCCTGTGGGACACACAAAAAAATATATTTTAGAAATTCATTGGCTGTAAGCAATATTGAAGCCCATTCAATTCATGGTAAGCACAAACGACTTTAGACATCTTCCAAAAAAATATTTCTTGTGCTGACCCAAATTCCAGGTTTTTTTTCCATTTTTATTTTTTCTGGATTCGTTTTTTTTTTTTTTTTTTGTCATTTAAATTGTTTTAGACTCTTGTTTTAATAGTTAAATTAAGGCCCCGTCCACACGGAGACACGTTTAGCTGTATACACAAAAATGTTGTATCGGATTGGTGTTTCTTCCAGACGGATCCGGCGTTTTGGGAGCGTGAAACCGCTATTTTTTTTAAACTGGGTCCCAGAGTGGATAAATCTGAAAACGTCACCCTTGCGTTTTCGTGTGTACAGAGAATCCGTATATTTTGAAATATGAAACGATGAGGTCATCACCCCGCATCTCGACCCTAGTCAGACACCGCTACGTCACGTCACCGCAACAACAACATGAACAAACACTGAACGAATGTCTTTTTATCAACTAACATTAACACAGATTAATAAATGTTTTAATCCACGTCCGTTTGTATACCACGTGCAAGGTTTATGAACATAGTCCAAGTCTTCTCCGTTTTTAGTGTATCTCTGTGGCAGAATTACAGCGTCACGTACTGGTCTGGCATGAATACTACATCGTTTTGTGTCGGTTTTTTGTGTACGCAGATATTTCTTGAGACGAGGGGGGAAAAAAAGGACTGATAGGGAATGCTCTGGCTTCGTGTGGATGTAGCCTAAATTTTATTAATCAAAAAGCATGTCAAATTATTACAGAAATCATAGGGCTGTAAAATCGGGTCAAAATGAACTTAATTTCGGGATTTTAAACCGCTTGCCATAACGAAATTTCCAGAAAAGTTCACTCCGGCTGGTAAAACACCTTCAAACTCCCATCGGTCCATGGCGATGATGTAATAGGTAGGTGTGGCTCTGTGACTCCGCCTCTTTGACATGGAATCTTCTCCTCTTCATTTCTTTTATTTGGTCTGTTGAGGTCAGACACATACAATTGTGAACACTCTGTAGAGCTGCTTTACTGTTGTAACTCTAAGTAACACTGACATGGCAGCACTGCTTTTACATTTAGTCATTTAGCAGACGCTTTTATCCAAAGCGACTTACAAATGAGGACAATGGAAGCAATCAACATCAACAAAAGAGCAATGATATGCAAGTGCTATAACAAGTCTCAGTTAGCTTAACGCAGTACACGTAGCAAGGGCTTTTTTTATCATATAATAAATAAAAAGAAAACAGATAACATAGAAAAAGAATAGATCAAGCTAGTGTTAGAGGCCTTAACAGATGTGTTTTTAGCCGATTCTTGAAGATGGCTAACTGCTCGGACTGAGTTATTTCCAGGTAATTCCACCAGGAGGGAACATTTAATGTAAAAGTCAGTGAAAGTGATGTTGTGCCTCTCTGGGATGGCACAATAAAGTGACGTTCACTTGCAGAACACAAGCTTCTAGAGGGCACATAAGTATGAAGTAATGAATTTAGGTAAAGGGGTGCGGTGCCAGTGGTGGTTTTGTAGGCAAACGTTAATGCCTAGAATTCTATGCGAGCAGCTACTGGTAGCCAGTGCAAATTGATAAACAGAGGTGTGACGTGCATTATTTGTGGCTCATTAAAAATTTATCTTTCTGGATTAATTGTAGAGGTTTGATGGAACTGGCTGGAAGACCTGCCAAGAGAGCATTGCAATAGTCCAGCCTGGACAGAACAAGAGCTTGAACAAGGAGTTGTGAAGCATGTTCCGAAAGAAAGGGCCTGATCTTCTTGATGTTGAATAAAGCAAATCTGCAGGACC